TAGATGTTGCAGAGAGGAGATGAACTAAATTCTGCAGCAGTGATGAAGCATATAGCATCTTCTACGGAACAGAGAAAAAGACAGAGATGGAGAAATAAGCAGTGTAAAAGGAGGGTTAGCAGTGGAGTATAGAAGTGGATCTAGAGCAATATTTAAAAATGTATATTGCTTAGAATCTTTAATATTATTTATTGAAATTTAAATCTACCTTTCTATGTTGTCTAGGAATGTACTACTTAAAAAATACACTGAGTTTGGGCCAGCCCTATAGACCAGTTGTTAAGGGAGCTGGATTCCACATGGTTAATCCTGTTTCAAATCTCAGCCCTGCATCTGAAAAAAAAACCCCAAAACAAACAAACAAACAAACAAAATAATCAGGCATGTGTGCATTTATGCTCCAAATTCCGATAGTGTAGAAAGGAGAAAGGATTGCAACATGACCCACTCCACTGAGGGAGTGCTCTCCTCTCCCCTTTTGTCTCTTTCTGTGACAAGCACCCCTGTCTTCTGGAAATTAAATGGAAAAAAAATCTAAACAAAAAATTGAGGCTTATATGTATTGACATCTTTCTGAATTAAGTCATTGGATGATATTTGTTATCCAATATCATTGCTCAACATGTAACTTATCCTTAATTTATTTTTAACACATGATCATATTGGTCATGTGTTAAAACAACCTATATTTGATAGGTTACTAATATGTAATGTACAATGGAAAGTTAAGAGAGGGAAATTTTATTTCAGATAGTGTAAAAATCATGTCTTTTTAAGGTTATTATATATCTGAATTTTTTTATAAAATATAATTTTATATTTTTGCTTTGCCCTTGTAAAAAGAATTACTATACTACAAAGTTGATAGAAAATATTACTGCTTTGAATGTTAGTCATTGATTCATGAATAAGTGTTGAAGACCAAAAACTAGACCTCCTCATGACCCAGCCAGTCATGGTAGCACAGGCAGTAGAAATACTTCTGTGATGTGCTGAAAAGCTATGGGTTTGTTCCCTGGTCTATGTGAGTACACTAGGCACACTCATAATCTTGGTTGGCTGTGCATCATGCAGAACCTTTGTAACAGTGCCATGTGCCTACCCAGCATTCTGGATTAGGAGGATATCAATACTTCTTTGGTGTAACCAGCGGGCAATGGTCTGTCTTATGGTGGCAGTTCATTAGGTGGAGAGTCATTAAGTGGGTGATAAATGGGCATTCAGAGGTGACTTGCCTGACTTTGTTCTTTAAAAATGAGATTGGCTTTTTGGAAACACATTTTTAAACCTCTGTTTCTGGGGTTCAAAAATAAAGCATTTCAGCCTAAGTTAAGTCTTATTAACTCTTTTTGAAATGAAAATCTTTCTTGACAGCTTATCTCTAGTCCTTATATCCAGGCCTTAAATAATAATTTGGGTGTGCAGATGTTTGCATTTAATTAATAGTAATTTTTTCCCTAAGTTCTTATTTGTTATGATGTAAGAAAAGTATTTCATTTTTCTTTGGTATACTTTAATTTTGCAGAACACATTGGAAGGTTGTTTTAAATTTTGTTTAAATGTTTGAACCAAAATATTTACAGTACAAGAAGTTCTCCTAGCCAGCAGATGGTTTTATTTGCTGTGTTGAGTGTAGAAACATTAAGAATGACAGCCTAAGATGATGCCATAGAGCTTTTTGATAAACAACCTAATAGTGTTGTCTAGTATGGTCTTTGTTTATCAAGGTATCAAAGACTCTTTTGCTATATTTAGGTAAAATCTAAGTTTCTTTACTTAAGCATGGAAAATATTGATCGTTTCCTGGTTTGGAAGAAAGCAGTATGACTAAAACAATTACACTTACCTGGAAACAATTATTAAAAGAATCTGAATTTCAAGAATTGCTGTTTGGGTTTTGTATTTTTTGTAAGGAGCATATGAAAATACCAAGATTTAATACCTCTTATAAAAATAATGTATTTCTGTCATTGCCTATGGTCATTATCTACTGAATTACTGTCTTTTGAAGTTTTTAATTTATAAAACATCTGAACAAACATATTTTAGTTATAATTGCAATAACACATACCTGGACACTGTTCTAAATATACCTGTATCTTATATTCTAAGAAAGTATGTTGATTAATTGTTCATGGAATACATACTAGCCCTCATAACAAAACAAGTATATATTGAAGCCAATATAGGCTAAAGTTGTTACAGGTAAGAATGACACCAGTATTTGTGGCAATAGAGGAAGATGGTCTTAGAGTTTAAGAATATTTGTGTTGGAGAGTGGAATTGGATGGCTAAAATTTTAGTAGGGTATAAGTTGATTATGTAGAACCTTCATGACAAATTCAGTGTTTTAGATTTTCTTTAGCAGTAATATACACACCCATGTAACATGCATATATGTATAATTTTATGTTCTTTGAGAAATTAAGCTTTGTTTCAGGAAAAATCTGTCACCTAATGTGTTAATGTTGTAGTGCAAGTCATCATTCACATGTGTGTGGTAAAGCCGGTATAAACAAACATGCTGCTCTGCCAGCCGTATAAAAATATAGGTCCTTCAGAGTATTCCAGAAGGCATTGTTTCCACAGGAGATGGCAAGTCCGGGTAGGAGAAGGGATTGCAGCCCTCCCCCCAGGGCTTGATTTCTCACGGTTCCTTCTCACTCAACTCTCTATTGTGAGTGGAAGTCTCCTATGGCTAAACCTTAAAAAAAAGACAAAAGAAAAAGACCCTTGATGTTAGGAAACCTTGGCCTCATATGGGCAAATCAGCCCATTCTCCTAGCAGTATAGAGATGTTATTTTTATTATTCTGGAAAGTCATACAAATTTGGTTCAGAGACAGAAATGTCTCTACCTTTACTTTCTGGTAAATAAGCAAATCTTTTGGAAGACACACATGTATCTTTTTTTTTCTTTTGGAGAGGACTTTTCCTTATTGGGCGCATACACTCGCCAGAAAGAAAGAGAGACAGAGAGATAGAAAGCGAGAAATCACCCCCCCAGAGGGGATGGCCACGCCGCAATCCCTTCTCCTCCATTCTCCTCTCGGGATCTTGGGCATGCATGCATGCGCCAGGCAGGAGTTTAAGCCACTGGGTTCGGGACTTGAACCGCGGTCGACTACATGGGAGTCCAGCGACATAGCCATCATGCTAACTGCTGGTCCCTGAGACACATGTATCTTTACAAGTCTGCTGCTTTGCACACATCCTTGAAAAGACAGTCTGGTGCAAATTAGGTCTTAATACCTTTGAAAATGGATACACAAGAGACCCATGGAAAGTTGTCTTCGTATACTATTTAGATGGTACTTCTTGATCAAACTTACATAGAATTGAAGTTGATTTTTTTTTCTGTTGTAGTATTAATACATAGCTATGACTTTTTTTTTTTAATAGTGTTCTCTTCAAACTTTGGTATATGAGATTTTAAACTGAAAATCCTTTATGAGTCAAGAGATTTTTAAAATAAATTTTATTTTTATACATTCAATCATTATATATAATTACAGCATGCAAAATGAATTTTCTCAGCATGAATACACTGTTAGTCCAGTCAAAGATACATGTTACCATCAACAGATAATTTTCCATTTTTGTGGCCCTTAAATGTTTTGCCTTTTTACTGATTTCTATAACAAAGCTAAGACCTTGAACCTTTTACTTTCCTTTGCCATCCTTCAACATTTTGTTGAAATTATAAAAAATTAAGCTACTGAACAGATAATGCTCTTAGAGGTGCAGAATTTGATTTTTTTCTCAGGTATAGCATGGTGTTTTAGAACTATCACTTATAAAGCATTCTAAATGTAACACCAGTATAAACCAGTAGAGCTCCTAAAGAATTATTGTAGCAGAGATACCATTGTAACAGATCCCTTCACTAGCAATAATTTGTACATTATTGTTACTATGGTGACAATTATAATAAAAGGCTTGACATAATTAGAATATTAGGCTGTTTAGAATAAAAAGCCTTTCGCAGAGGCAACTGGTGGCATGGTGATCAAGGCAGCTGGATCCCACATGATCCATAGCACAGTTTAAGTCTTGGATTCAGTGGCTCGAAAGCACTCCAGGTGTGTGTGTGTGTGTGTGTGTGTGTGTGTGTGTGTGTGTGCGTGCGCGCGCATGCGCCTAAAATCCCAAGGGAAGGACAGAGGAGAAGGGATTGCAGCATGACTGTTCCCCCTGAGGGTGCTGTCTTTGTCTTTGTGTGTGTCTTGCCTTTGTCTTTTCTCTTTCTCTTTCTCTGTCTCTGTCTCTTTCTCTCTCTTGTGAGCATAAACATCCCATAGTAAAATTAAAACAAAAAATCTTTTCAGGAAAAGTCTGTGTAACCTACGTACTATTCTTCCTAAATTTAGTTTGTGACTACCTCTAGTAGTGCATTTTTTGGCAGCATTGCTTTCCTTATTGCCCAACTTAAAGTCTCACATGTATTCTGCATTTTATATATTTTTTCCATGTCCTTGTTTGCTGAAATAATACTCATTGTTCCTGTCATTGTTCAAATCTCTCTCTCTCCTTTTATTTTCTTTTTGATAAGTGACCTGATAAGCTTCAGCCTGAGTTTATTTTTATACAAGGATCTTGGTTTTAGGTGTGTTTCCTGTAGCTATTATGTGCCTTTTCATAACAAAGTTGTTCACATTCATGTTTGGTCTTTTTATTTTTTCTTTTTTTGAGAGTTTTCTTTTGCTGTAGGACGCGTGCGCTCTCCAGAGAGACAGAGAGAGACAGAGAGACAGAAAGTGAGAAATCACCCTCCAGGAGGGATGGCCATGCCACAATCCCTTCTCCTCCATTCTCCTCTCAGGATCTTGGGCATGCATGCACATGTGCCCGGCGTGAGTTTAAGCCACTGGGTCCGGGACTCAAACCGTGGTCGACTACATGGGAGTCCAGTGACATAGCCATTATGCTAACTGCTGGTCCCCATGTTTTGTCTTTTGTCTAGTTGGTTAGATCTTTCTTACTGTATGTTTTTTTTCCTAGGATGTAAAAGTCACACCTGGCACCCTGTGTCATACCGGCAGAGATGTTCAGCACATCATTTTCGAGCAATGCTACAATTTCGTTTGTGTGAATGTAAGTAGCAGATAAAAGGATTGGAATATATTTGAAGATCTGAACTATTAATGTGGTAGAGAATTAATTTTTATTTTTTTAATAATTATTTTATTTTATTTATTCATTCATTTATTTTTTAATTTGACCAGAGAGAGACAGACGTGGTGAGAGAGAGAGAAAGGAAGCGAGAAAGCAAGCCACCAGATTCTGGACTTGAACCCTGGTTGGCCATGTGGGAGTGTCCAGTGCCTTAACAACCACGCCACCTGCTGGTCCCTGAGAATTAATTTTTCTTAACTTACTAATATTTGAGTGACTTTTGTTTGTTTGTTTGTTGTTTTTTAATTTGCCAGTGGGCACCTGCACTTGCCAGAGACAGACGGGGTTGAGGGGCTGGGGGGAGAGCACAAACCAATGGGGCTTGGCTATGCCACAATCCCTTCTCCTCCACTTAATCTATCATGTTGGGATTTGGCACTTGCACACACACTTGGCCAACAGGTTTTTCAAGTTAAAGGTCTGGGCTTTGAACCATGCAATTGGTCTTGTGGGATCTGACTCCATTAACCATTAGTTCATGGGGTTGGCCTAGAAAGCAATATTTTGATAAATGAATTGTGTTACTCAGTATGTATTTGGAAATCTTATTTTTTATCTTTTGAAACAAGAAAAATATTTTCTAACAAGCTAATTGCCATGCTGAGAAAATGATGTTTCTTTAGATAACTTCAATTTTCTATTTTATACCTGGTATAAAATAGATAAGAAGATACAAATTTGAATTAATGCATAGTTCAAATTTAATCTATAAAACTTAAACTAGTAATATTTTGAATAATATAAAGAATTTCTTCATTTTTGTTTTTGAATCAATTTTTAAAGTCACTTAAGAACTTCATTAAATTTCCTTTTCTTTTTCTGTTCATTCAGGATACCACCTCTGATTTTCAAGAAACCCAGAAGTTACTGAGTATGCTTGAAAAGAGTAATCTTTCCACTTTATATTCTGTTGTTGTTGTTTCGGTAAGCAAATCAGTACAGAGTTTGCTCATCAAACTTGTGCTTCCTCTCTTATAACTCAAATTTTTATCCAGCTGAGTCTTGAGCCAAACTCTGAAGAAGAAACTCATATTTTTTATAGATTCTTCAGATTATTATCTTCTATGATTTTTTTGTTCACATAGTACTACAATCATTTGGTTGTAGTGGTAGGTTTGAAAAACTATTTAAATCAACCTAGTAACCAATTTTGTTTTTTCCTTTCATGAAGTTGCAAAGTATTTGGCTAAACTGACTAGTTGCTTGAAAAAACTTTATTTAGCATTAGTAGAATATCATTAGAGAAGAATTACAGAAGTTAAAGAAAAATGTGAGGAATAATTTAATAAAGAAAATGTTTTGAATCGTTAATCTTATCTATTCTATGGAAAGCAAAAATCGAAAAAACAACACATTAAAGAGAATTCTGGGCCAGCAGTTGGCATGGTGGACTTTCATGGCCAATCATGGTTTGAGTCAGACCCTGCGGCTTACTTTTCACTTTCCCTGACTGCATCTCTGTCTCTGTCTGGTGAGAACATGTACTCTGTAGCAAATTAAAAATAATACTAATAAATAAAATTAATAGTTAATTTTAAGTAGAATGTCCCATAAAAATTTGACAGAAGTGTTTTACACAGAAAACTAAAAATACATGATTTGGGAAGAAATTACTTGATTAGTTTATAAAATTATGTAGCAGAGTGGAAATATCAGAAAGCAAAGCAAAGGAGAAATAAGATCAGAGGCCAAGACAGCCAACCTGGCTGAGGAGCAGGAGCTGCATCTATAATACTTTGCTTTGAGTAGGGGTTTCTAATAAAGTGCTTAGAAATTGCCAGGTTCCTAAAACTCAAGTTCATCCCACAGTTGGGAATTTTAGGTAAGGTACTTAAAATAAAGATGGTAATTTACACTAAAAATAAGTAACTCTAGATTAATCAATATAAATCAAAACAGATCACTGGGGGAGATTTAATATGTTCATGGACCTGTTTTATTTGTTTATGTGTTCTGAAGATAGTTGCCAGAGATGCAGCTGGTTATAGAATCCCATGGTCCACATGTGACCAGTTCTCACAGGAATATAGAGACTTTTATTGAGCTGTTTTGAACACCATGGACTACGCCAACACTGCCAGCTCTAGTTTCCGTAGATGCGTACTGCAGTGTTATCAACTTGCAGTTTCTGTTCACCTGAAGGAAGGGAGGTGTAGTAGGAATCAGCAAAGTCAAATCTGTTAGTAGATGTTTAATGTTTTTTTAACTGAGAGACTATCTAAGGTTGTCACTGGTAATGTCGTGTTGCACTCTATAAGGACACATATTTGGAGGTTCCCAAATACTTATAAAAATATTTTGAATTTCCCTGGTATCTGTCATTTGGTAGTCATTCAGAAGGGACATATGACTCTCAAACTCATTCAGAATATTCTTTGGCAGAAGCTAAGCACTAAATGAATAAATGGTTAAAGGTGTTGGATTCTAGGTGCATGAGTATTTAACACAGTTAGATTTTATTTTGAGTTTTCTAGAGTGCTTGACTGCATGAAGACCAGCTTCTCTCTGACTTTTGCAAAAAAATGAATGGCTTAGGAGATATTTGATTTAGAATTTTTTAAAATCTAAGCTAAATTGGCACAGCTAAAAGGCCACTTAGAAAAGGGAACTGATGCCACGTGACTGACTGTGTAGCTTGAGTCCCACATCTGATAGTTTGAACAACTTGCTATGCATGTGTGCACATGCCTAAGATCCCCAGAGAAGGGAGAAATGGAGAAGGGACTGCGATGTAACCATGGTCTATGTGACGATGCTTTTTCCCTCTCCTTGGTCTCACTGTGGTCATGATCGTTCTCCAAAGTGGGGAGTGCTTTCTCCCTCTCCCTGTCAGTCTCTACTGGAGTCTTATGTCCTCTGGCTAATTAAAAAAAAAGGAGGAGGAGTTTTCAAAATCTTATCATGAAGAGTACAGACACTATTGAGATATTACCTTGAACAATATTGAGATAACTATATTAGGTTGTTGGAAAAGTATGACATATTTTTTTCTATGTCAAAATGTGTCATGACTCTTTCAACAACCCAATAAAATAACATTGTTTTATCTTCTATTAAAAACCAAAAAAACCTTTAGGAGCCAGCAGGTGGCATCGTGGTTAATGCACTGGACTCCAACGTAGGCTATTGTTTCAGTCCTGGACCCAGTAGCTTGAAAATCATGCTCTGTGTGTGTGTGTGTGTGTGTGTGTGTGTGTGTGCATGTGTGTTCAAAATCCCAGGAGGAGAATGGAGGAGAAGTTATATGGTGTGACCATGCCCACTGAGGGTTTATTTCTCACTTTCGTTCTCACTGTTTCTGTCTGTCTCTCTCCTGTGAGCACACACACCCTGTGGGAGAAATGTTTATATATAAATGGGTCACCAGGCAGCACAGTGGTTAGGGCTCTGAACTCCCACATTGGCAACTGTGGTTTGATTCCCAGATTCCCAGAGCTTGGAGGTTTGTAACTCACACTGGATGCATGTGCATGAATGCCCAAACTCCTGAGAGGAAAATGGAGGAGAAGGGATTGCAGTGTGTCCAACCCCCTGGATAGGTGATTTCTCACTTTCTCTCTGTTTTTCTGGCAAGCATGCACAGCCTATTGCAAAAATCTCTCTTAAAAACATAAAACAGCAAAAAAAAAAAAAAAAAAAAAAGAAAGAAAGAAAAAAAAAAACCCAAAAAACAAAAACCCAAACCTTTAGTGGGGTCAGCAGGTGGCATGGTGGTTAAGACGCTAGACTGCTGCTTGACTGACTGCAGTTCAAGTCCTGGACCTGGTAGCTTGAAAATCACACTGTGTGTACATACATGTGTGCCCAAAACCCCAAGGAGAGAATGGAAGAGGAAGGGATTGCTGTGTGACCATTCCCTGTGGAGGGTGATTTATCTTTGCCTGGTGAGCACATGCACCCTGTGGCAAAAAACAAAACAAAACAACAAAAAAACAAACAAACAAAAACTTAAAAGAAAAAAAAAGAATAAAAACCCCTTTAGGTTATATTTACAAAATTAAACTTTTTTGCATAATCTCTAAGACATAATAATATATTTTTACAAGCTCCATTTCAAGTGGTTATTTTTGCAGAAATACTTTTGGGCACTTTTAGTTGTCTGAAATATTCTTTATTTTTTGATATTTAATATATTTTCTTGGGCCATCTATTTCAGTCAGCATTATTTTTATGTGCTTTAAGTAGTCTAATTTTGCCAAGTTCTTATGTTGATCACATTTTGTATGATTTAAGGAGTTTACTAATATTACTTTGGTCAGCTTAGTGAAATCCATGTATTTTGGTTGATATAACTTCATTTTACCATAATTGCATTGAGTTAGAATTTTGTAAGTTTCTACCATCTGCTACAGGCCAGTGATAACTGATGACTGCAGACTGACTACTCAAGCTGAAATACATGTCAGCTTTAAAGTGGCTGGAGATAGTTGGATTGGTTATTTTATAAGTATTTTCTTTCTTAACGTGTGTGTGTTTGGCTGACACTTATTATTCTATGCAATCTTTTAACTGAGCTTTGGGAAACACATACTTAGATAATATCTGAACATACTATATACTAGGACAAAAATATTCTTTTTATTAGAGACTGGTCAACATAAAGATTTTCTTTCTGCATGCGTGCTAGGGGAGAGAGACTCAGAGGGAAAATGAGAAAGCACTCTCCATGGGGGATGGCCACACCCACAGTCTCTTCGCTAGTTCTCCTTTCAGGATTTCGGGCACGTCATGCACATGTGCCTGGCATGTTTGCCAAGCCACCAGGTCTAGGACTTGAACATGTAGTACGCCTTGTGGAGTCTAAACTACCTTAACCACTATGCTATCAGCTGGATCCCAGCATAAAGCAATTTAAAAATTTTTCTTTTTTTTTATTTTTTTAAGGTTCCTGCCTTAGGGTACCTGAACTCACTGGAGAGAAAAAGAGAGAGGGAAAGTGAGATGGAAAGTGAGACATCAACCCCACGGGAGGATGACCGTGCTGCAATCTCTTCCGTTTTCCTCTTGAGATTGTGGGTCCCCATGCATGCACATGTATCTGGCTTGTTTTTCAAGCTGCCATATCTGGAACTTGAACCTCAGTAGACCATGTAGGAGTCTAGTTTCTTAACCACCTCACCACCTACTAGCCCCAGGATTTCTTATGCCTTTTAATAAGAGAAGTCTTACATATGTTATAAAATACACTTGCTTTTGTAAAAGATGTATAGGTATTATGTTAGAAAGTCCTATTTAGAGGTCCTGATACTGCTTTGTTTTTCCTATAAGTTATCAAGGAGCTTAATTTTTATCCTTAGTTGATTGACGTTATTGTGAGCTTTCTTTTCTTAGAGGTTACCAAGGGGTTTATTGTAATGCTACCACCTCTGTTGGATTGTAGCTCTTCAGAGATAAGTTCTTTTCAGAGTATCCTGATCCAGCAACTACGAACTTGGACATGTTCAGTTTTCTCTTTTCCACTCCTATGTTTTTGTTCACTATGTAACGATAGGCAAGTATTTAGAAAAATAAATGTATTTAAAAATATTAAAAGGTAAATTCATAAAATTTCTAATATAAAAATTACTGAGAAAAAAATAGAGGATTTTTTTTCTAAAGTAAAGATACAAAGGTGCTAGAAGTTTAATTGTAGGCTGAGTTCTGTGCTTAAAATTAGCAAATAGGTGTATTCTTCGCAGCAGTGGAGAAAAGAGATTTTAGGGGGCAAAACTAACTAATCTATTTTCCTGCCAACATTATATAAAAAGAATTATAAAATCCTCAAAAATACCTTCCCTGGCCTGAAAAAAGCAAAATAGATTTTCTAAATTATTTGGCTCTAGCCAGCTTTCTACAAAATATCCTTTGATACATTCAGAGGAAATAGTAGACAATATACTCCTAGTTAAAGCTTTTTTCTTTCCAAAATCTTTTTATGAATTTAT